GTTTTAAGTTACTGGATCTTAGTTTTTGGGATTGGAAATGAGTTTTGAGTTACTGGATCTTAGTTTTTGGGATTGGATATGACTCTAGAGTTACTGTATCTTTGTTATTGGTGTTGGATATGACATTAGAGTTACTGGATCTTTGTTTTTGGTGTTAGACATGACATTGAAGTTACGGGATCTTTGTTGATGGTGTTGGATATGAGTTTTGAGTTACTGGATCTTAGTTATAGGTGTTGGATATGACATTAGAGTTACTGGATCTTTGTTGATGGTGTTGAATATGAGTTAAGAGTTACTGGATCTTAGTTTTTGGGATTGGAAATGAGTTTTGAGTTACTGGATCTTAGTTTTTGGGATTGGATATGACTCTAGAGTTACTGTATCTTTGTTATTGGTGTTGGATATGACATTAGAGTTACTGGATCTTTGTTTTTGGTGTTAGACATGACATTGAAGTTATGGGATCTTTGTTGATGGTGTTGGATATGAGTTTTGAGTTACTGGATCCTAGTTTTTGGTGTTGGATATGACATTAGAGTTACTAGTTCTTTATTTTTAATGATGGATGTGAATGTAAAGCTACTGGATCTTTGTTTTAGGGGTTGACTATGACTGTAGAGCTACTGAATTTATGTTTTTGATACGGGACATGTTTTAAATGCTACCAGATCTTTAAAATAAAAATCTGGAACGAACTATTAAAGATCTGGTACGAAAAATTAAGGCCCTCAAACGATTTTGAGTTACAACTAAGTTTACTGATCAGTAAGAGGAAAATACGCTGAAGTCGCCCAGATCCAAAGTACTGGCGATCTTTTTACTAGTTTGTTTATTTTTCATTTAGAAACTTTTTTCTCATCTCTTTTTCACTTTGCTTGTTTATTATTGTCCGATGGCAAGGATTGGAATTTCTTTGGATTATATTGATGGAATTTGGGTGCTTGACTCTGTGTGAAGGTATCTGAAACTCAAAACTTTAATATGAATGCATCTGAATATCCAAACTCTTGTGTAAAGGCACCTTGACTTTAAAACTTTATGGTGAAGGCACCTGAACCTCTTGTGTAAAGTGAATCTGAATCTTACAACTCTAGTGTGAAGGCATACTTTATCTCAAAAAACCCGTGTGAAGACACTTGAATTTTAAAACGTAAGTGTGAAGGCATCTAAATCTCAAAACTAGTGTGAAGGCATACTTTATCCCAAAAATATTAGTGTGAAGGCACCTGAATAAAGATTAAAAACTCTGAAAATCTAATGTAAAGGCAACTGAATACAAAAATTCTTATTAAATGCCTCTATAACTTACAATCGATACAAATAATCCACATCAAGCAACATTTACCATCAAAGAAGACAAATGTATCAGAATTGACTTATTACCTAATAATATTCCCATCGGGAATACTCTAACAAATGTTTTCATCTAATAATGACATGCTATTAAACCACAAAAGATAAATTGTCGAAGAATGATGAGTGGATGTTGATAAATAAAGACTAAGGGAAATCCATGAAAATGTCTTAAGTAACTTCTTCACATTTCTCGCTTATCATTTCTGAAAATGTTCGTCAAGTAATCCCCTATGCGCCCCCAAATAATATACCGAAAGAGATTATTGTTGTAAATTGCTGTTTTGTGTATCATTTTTGCACCTTGAACAACACTGATGACATGCAATTTAGGAATCTCAGTGGATCAATATATCTTTTGGAGTGAGATACTAGGGACCAGAATGAAATTTGATGGCAAATGCTCGACTTGAAATGTTTAAGTGTCTTCACATTAAAATACTTGATTCAGGTGTTGTCACACTAGAATATTAGGGTTCAGGTGTCTTCACACTAGATTATTAAGGTTCAGGTGTCTTCACATTAGATTATTAAGGTTCAGATGTCTTCACATTAGATTATTAAGGTTCAGTTGTCTTCACACTATAGTATTAAGGTTCAGGTGTCTTCACACTAGAGTATTAAGGTTCAGAAGTCTTACAAGAGCTTCAGAAAGTACATGTGCATTCACATTTAAGTTTTGAGATTCAGTCGTCTTCACACTTGAGTTCTCCTAGTTCTGTTGGCTATTTTTTTAAAATTTCACTAGTTTTGGAAACTTTAGACTTGGGTTCTGAAGCTAAGGAAAAGCTAGGATGAGAAATCAAATTCATCCAAAAAATACACAACAATCCATTTCACTTACGCTAAGTGAGTGTTGTGCTGTTTATTGCCAAAAATTTCCTCCATCCTCTTCCTACATTCATCCTTACTGCTCACTGAATGAGAAACATGAACGGAAAAAATTCATCAGAGAGATAAACAGCTCAAGATAAGCACGGATGTGTGTTGAAAATCGTTGTTAGAAAAAAAGAACAAATTATTTGGGAGTGAGTATCATGCTTCATGTGGGTTGCTTACTGCTATTTAGGATCACTTTGCTCTCTATTGTCTGCAACTTCTTTCATGTAAGGCAAAAAAAAAAATAAAAAATTGATGGAAAAATTTGTTGAAATGTGGGTAATCAAACCCGATGTTTATCTAAATAGATACAAATCGATATCCATTATGTGGGTGAACTTTTTTGGGATTTAAATGTACAGCAGAGGTTCCTTTTGTTGTGTTGAGTTAGAAATTTGGTAAAAAAAAGTGCAAAGTAAGACATTTGTTGTTGAGAATAGATTTTATGGATTGATAGGATTGCAAAATAGCAAGTAAAGCGATGATGTTTTAATTTGAAGAATGATTCGGTCAATTTCGAGGCTCAACATAGTTCCATAACCTTCAAGCCGCTCAAAACGTCACTCCAGTCTAAATCTCTTACTCATAAACATCAACAACAGCGAAATGCAATCCGATACGGACAGACTCAGTCTCGTTTGTGCATGATTTTCCATACAATGTTTGCATATTTGACGTGAATTGTTTTCTCGCAGCTAAACATCTCACTTTTCATGACTCGCGCAACATACTTTTTTTGCTGCTGCTGTGCCTGAAATGTTTGCATGCATTATTGCTTTCTGTTTGAGGTTTGTTTACTTGCCATTGCATCGAGTAAGTTAGTGTCGAATTTCAAAACAGTTTTGTGTGGACTTATTTGAGTGAAGGAAGGGATTAAATGTTTTAACGACAAAAGGCTGGAAAGTAAACAATGAAATGCTGGTTTAAACTGGCTATGTCAATTTTTTTGAATGATTTAATTTTTATTTTGGCACTTTAATCAGTTTGAATTTTTAAATCATTAGTTTTCAAACATTTTAACCAGTTCAAACCTTAAAAGTTAACCAAATGAACCCAATCTTACTGTTCCATTCATTTTAACATTGCAGCAAACACTTTACTTCAACTTATTTATGTTGTTTATGCCAAAAAGGATTAAAAACATTAAATTATCATCCATGAGCACAAAAAATTTTCATTAAAGGCAACAGCAGGACTCATAAAAATTATTATTCCCAAAAAACTGCGATAAATCATCGACGACAAGATCTTCTCCTTCACAAAGCGGACTTGTTTGTTGTTTTTCTGTAGCTTGTTTATCTTTTCAATTTTATTCTCGTCTATCTGTTTATTGGAATGAGGAAGAAATTATTCGTTAGTGTGCTTTACTCACTCATGCTTGTTTATTAAATGAGATAAATTAATTTTCACTTCAATGCCATTAGTTGTGATAATTTTGAAGTCTTTGTGTTGTTCTTGATAATGATGGGTTTAAGAATGCATTATGAGAATCAGGAAGAAGAGAATAACCTCAAAAACTCATGCTAACCTCAAAAAAAATCAAAAAAATTCAAAAATAACCTGAAAATTTTAAGAATAACCTCAAAAGTTTAAAAATAATCTCAAAAGTTGAAAAATATTCTCAAAAGTTCAAAACCAACCTCAAAATTCAAAACTAACCGCAAAAGTTCAAAACTAGCCTCAAAAAGTTCAAAGCTTACCTCAAAAGTTCTAAACTAACCTCAAAAAAATTCAAAAATAACCTGAAAATTTTAAGAATAACCTCAAAAGTTCAAAACTAACCTCAAAAGTTCTAAGCTAACCTCAAAAGTTCTAAACTAACCTCAAAAAATTCAAATGATTAACGTTACCTTTGAAAGTCTTTAACTAAGTTGTTAAAATTTGCATCCATACATTAGGAATCTTCAAATCCTCCCTAGTCCTACATCTTCCCCTAAATCTGATTCACTATGACTACATCACAATCAGCTCAAAACATATCTCAATAATCAAATTGATGATGACAATTAGAAGTCAATTTAGTGTGAATGTTTACAAAAAATTATGAAAATCTTTTCCAATTGACATGAAAAGATACACAAAATACAGTAAAATGGGATCTCAATAAAGAACCTCTCTCTCCCTACAGATATACAAAAATCCATAAATGTCTACATTGTACGGCACACAAAACATAACGAAACATGAGAGAATTTTGATGTTTGTCATTTACTGACTTTATTTGATTAAAAGTTATTGAATTATGACTACTATTGTGACTTTTTCATCTTAATGCACGATTGTTTACGACAAGTTTTGTGTGTCTGAATGTGTTTATCTAGTGACTTATGTAGATTCCGATGGATGTAGATGATTAAAAAGGGAGAAAATGGGATAAGTAAACAAAAGTGATGAAATATTGTCGAGTTGAGCTAAATGAAGCTGTTATGGATCAAAATAGTTCGAATGGTTTCGTAAAACAATAAAATTATTGGAATTTAGATCATTAGAGAGACTCCTTTGGGTCTCTTAAAAGGGTCTCTGCTCATTCTTGAATGTCCAACCAAATGTTTTTTTGATTTAACTAGGGTTGATATTTGAGTATACCAGGATTTTAATATGATCAAACTTTCTTAATCTTCTTTAAAGTTGAACCAAAATTGATAAAAATAAAATTTTTTACTAATCAAAAATTAAACTTTATTTACTTCCAATTGAATTCCAAACGACTATTTTAAAAAATTAAAATTATTTCTCAAAAATTCAAGACATTTCGACTAGTATCTTCAAGCTGAGAAGATATCAATCAAGCATCCCCAAGTGGAATTGATGTCGAATCCAAAGTCAGTTTTTCCTATAACAATGTTTGGGCTGAGGATGGAATGCAACAAAATGTTATCAAAAGTCAAAATTTCGTTTCCTGACAAGATGTTGCTGAGAATGTTAAGCAAGAAGTTTCCATTAGCTATATCATTAAGATCGAGTAATCTTGGATGAAGCAAAACTTGTTGTTTTAGAAGTTCACGAATATCAGCACTTAATTGTTCAATGAGCGACTTGATATCAGCACAAGATTGTGGTGGTGCAATCGATGGAATTGATGAAGACATTGGAGTAAAGCTTGGAGATCCTGCATTAGTTCCTGGGAATTATTGAGTTTGAAATTTGATCAGTTGGCTTGCCTTAAACCATTCAATTCAGTCACAGAACTTACCAATGATGAAGATTGCAGCAATAACAAAAACCAATTTCATGATTTTAAAATTTTTGGTTTTTTAAGGATTTATATTGACTTGATTCTACTTTGAGCTTCAAGCAGATGATGATGAATTTTACAAATTTCGACTACATTTTTATACTCACTGAATACTTTAATTTTTGCTTGAATTTTTACATGAATTGTGAACAAATTATGTCGGGTGTTTTGATGTCAGCAATGATAAAAGTTAAATTTTTATAAATAAAAAATTTCAATTTCATTTAAACTCGAAAAACTTTTTTAAAAAAATTTTAAATTAAAATCACGATTTATTTTTTAAAAAATTCTATTAAAATTCTGCAGCTTATTACTTTTAATTTCTTTAGGACTTTTTCAATGACTCAGATTATCGCTATTCCCTTTAAATCTCATTAAGTCAAGTAATGATAATCTTGTTTTAATTTCATTGATTTTAATTCAAGGATAAAAAATTGTTAAAATTGAGCAAGAATGATTAACGTTTTCCTTATGAGTTCTACACCCAGGTTTTAGTGACGAAGCTCAGCTCGTGAGTTGGGTGTAGTTTTCAGGTCTTTGTCTCAGATAAACTAAGATAACCTTTTTGAAAAGTCTTTTTTAAGCTAAAGTCACAGTAAATTATATAAGAATCATATTATTGTTAAAGCTAGCTTTTTTAAAGAAACAATTTCAATAATCTTAGATCTAATTTAGTAGCAAGTAAAAATTGAACATGGCAATCTCACAACTGATCGCACCTTCATATTTTATCTTTATTTTAACTCGATTGAAACTATGTACCATTAAGGAGATTGTCCTTTGGGCCAGTGTTCAAATTTTGTTTTTCTGTTTATGTTGATTTGAAAGATCCATTAGTAAAAGCTACTCAAGAAGAAAGCTAAAGAAAGCTTCCACTTTTTGTCTTTCATATGTTCCGAATAGTTAACAGATCGTAAAGAAATTAAAAGTGATAAGCTGCAGAATTTTAGTAGAATTTTTTAAAAAATAAATCGTGATTTTGATTTAAAATTTTTTTAAAGAAGTTTTTCGTGTTTATCTGAAATTGAAATTTTTTATTTATAAAAATTTAACTTTTATCATTGCTGACATCAAAACACCCGACATAATTTATTCGCAATTCATGTAAAAATTCAAGCAAAAATTAAAGTATTCAGTGAGTATAAAAATGTAGTCGAAATTTGTAAAATTCATCATCATCTGCTGAAAGCTCAAAGTAGAATCAAGTCAATATAAATCCTTAAAAAACCAAAAATTTTAAAATCATGAAATTGATTTTTGTTATTGCTGCAATCTTTATCATTGGTAAGTTCTGTGACTGAATTGAATGATTTAAGGCAAGCCAACTGATCAAATTTCAAACTCAATAATTCACAGGAACTAATGCAGGATCTCCAAGCTTTACTCCAATGTCTTCATCAATTCCATCGATTGCACCACCACAATCTTGTGCTGATATCAAGTCGCTCATTGAACAATTAAGTGCTGATATTCGTGAACTTCTAAAACAACAAGTTTTGCTTCATCCAAGATTACTCGATCTTAATGATATAGCTAATGGAAACTTCTTGCTTAACATTCTCAGCAACATCTTGTCAGGAAACGAAATTTTGACTTTTGATAACATTTTGTTGCATTCCATCCTCAGCCCAAACATTGTTATAGGAAAAACTGACTTTGGATTCGACATCAATTCCACTTGGGGATGCTTGATTGATCTCTTCTCAGCTTAATTATGATAAAAAATAATTTATTGTCATTTTTTAAAAAAATAATAATTTGGAATTCAATAAATATTTATTTTTTGACAAAAATTTAATTTTTTTTTGTGTTTTTAATTGCAAAACTATCAAGAAATTAGAATTCTCGTAAACATTTTTCTTTTCTCGCTCACATGTTTACACAAAAAATAGCTCATGTCGCAATAAAAATGAAAATAATGAATCCAAATAAAAATACACAACATGAGATGCTCGCATGAAACAAGAGGATGGAGAAAGAAAAAGAGAAAAACAGTTTACATGAAAATAAATTCAATGTAAATGAATAAACAGTTGTTGCTTGAAAGTTTGTTTAGATAAAAAAATTTATATTTATTGAGTAAATTAGATCGAGATTGTGTATTTTTGAGGCACAAACTAGAGCAAAACCAGCCAAAGGTCTGGTGTTTGGAAACAAAGTCATTAGAATTTAAATTGTGTTTTTTTTGTGGAATTGAAAATTGGAAATAAAAAAGCTGTGAATTTTGTAACAAAAATTAAATTGAATTAAGAACTGGAATTGAATTTAGAAATGGGAGTCAATGAGAACTAAGTGGATATTAAGAGGGTTCAAAGAGGACATAACTTAGTCAAGGAGGATTGCTTACTTCCTTGGCTGGGGTGCACAGAAGCCCATTGCCGCGTTTAGAGATCGTCTGAAGCTGTATCAGCTCTATCATTAGAAACCTATTGTCAGTTCTGGATATTAAGGACTCTAGCGTCCTTATCAACACATCCAATCCATATGATCTTCGGTCTTCCTCGTGATAAGGAGGTTTAAAAAGTAAATTCAGACCAAAGCTGGTTAAGCAGGCTACAGATATAACCAAAGAGACTCTATAAAGGTCATAAAGGATAAATTAGAGCCAATGGTAGTCAAAAGGGCATCGAGGTGCTTTGGAACCTATCGATTGAGTTCAAAGAAGACACAAACTTTCATGTCCACGCTATTGGTCTTTATATCGTGCTGTCTTTAATTTACATTGGTTAGCTAAAGTGTTGGCTATTAAGTGTATTGAATTGCAGTCCCTTCAGCTCTGACTGGGCCCTCTTTATGCTTTTGAAATCAAACTATAATTCAGAAGCTTGTTTCAGATTAACATCATACAGTACATCCTTAATAATTAACAAAAAAGAGTATCTGTTGCATCCACTAAACAATTCATCAACAAACCATAAAAAGACACACACTTTATAATTCTCTCAAATGAACAAAGCCATAAAGTCTGTTTTTGATGTTCATTCACAGCAATCATGACGATTATGATGAGAACAATTCTCTGTCTGACGTCTTTCTTTTCATCCTCTAATAAGCACTTTTTTGAGTTGATTTATTAACCTTACGCACACTTCATTCAGTCACTTGCTGCTTTTCTTTTCTTCCTGACTTCACAGCTAACAAATTTTTCATCTTTTTTTTTTCTTAAGACTTTATTTGAGTCTGGTTGGGGATGTGATGAAGAACCACAGCAAAAAAAGGTGCAAAAAAGAAAAGTTTCTTATTGATGCTGATGATGACGATGTTATGAATGTGATGTGAATTTATCATACATTTTTTTCTTTCTTTCATATCCGGTGTATTTTTCCTATTTAGGATGAGAAGAAATTTTTCGTCTTCACCCTTTAGTCGTGACATGTGTGAGAAAAAAATATGAAAAAAGTTTTCTTTATTTTGGTTTATTGAAGGGGGAAAAAAATTCATAAAATCTGAGATTTTTCATGTCACATTTTAGCTTGCATGATTTTGGAGTGCTCTTCATTTTTGGATGCAATGGTTGGATTATTCAGAAATTTATTGAGAAGATTTTTTTTTCAAAGTTTGATATTTTAACAAATTTTTTGACACTAGGGTCCACTGGAAACCTCCTTCAATCCCTATAGATAACCTTAAAATTAGACTTAATTCTCGAGACCGAGACCGAGACCGAGACATCCCGGGAATTCCCGGGAAGTCTCGACTTTAGAAACTACTTAAAATTTCGCTGAAAGTAATTAAAAAACACTTTGAACATGTAGATTACGTCTATTTGTTATTGAACTTCTGGATATATTCCTTGTTATGCGGTCAGTTAAACTAATTTTATTGTCTTAATACTAATATAAAATATAATAGAAATACGAAATACGTAATGATAAAAGAAAAGCATAATGATAAGAAAGTGTGTCCCTATTAAAACTATTCTTTTTTTTGTGAAAATGTCAATAAGTTCGATAACGGTAAATTTAGTTTCAAACTATGAAAAATTATAGGAGTTTTTATTTTAAATTCAGGTTTTACGTTGAAATATTAATACATTTAAAAAACTGCTTAAAACTTTTACTAATAATTAATTTATTATTGATATTTATTCACAAAAATTGGATAGGGTAAATGACTTTGAAATTTGCGCAACCTTGAAAAATGTCACTTCTGTTCAGACGATCAATGGGAAATGTTTGTAGAACACCAGCGCAGATGTTTTTGCATAATTTTTAGTGATACTAAACCATTAGGAAGCTCAATAATTTGCACCCGAAAAATCCCATACAAAAAGAGAAAAAATCCCATACCTCCGAAGAGATTGAAGCAAATGAAAGTTTCATGTGTGAAAATGCGCAAATTTCAAGGTCATTTACCCTAACTGTAATTAACTACAAACTGTGATGGGAAAAATTCTAAAATTATCATTTTTACTTAAATACTTTTCTTCTCTAGTCTCGGGTCTCGGTCTCGGAAAATTCTCGAGACCGAGACGAGATCGAGACCGAGACTTCCCGGGAAGTCTCGGTCTCGATTTCGTCATCGGGAAAGCATACTTAGTTGTTCAAAATTAATTACAATGGTTCCTATAGAATTCGGCCTTCTCTGGTGTTTATTCCACATTAATACAGTCAAATTAACCCAATCCAACTCCTTACCTTACCTCTCAACTTCAAATCAGGCTTCTGTCCTCACAAGCAACCTTCCCCTGAATTTTAAAATTTCATTCCATATGCAATTTTTCAACTAGAACATTTTCACCTTCACATGATGAATTTGAATGAGGCAAAAATGAAGAAAAAAACTTTAAAGGCAAGTTGAAGTTAAGTAGCGTTAAAAAGATTGCGTTTCGCACGTGCGAGTTTCTGTATGCCATGGCAAAAATGAATGAAAAATGGGTGCTAATTTTTGCTATTTTTAAATAAAAAGTTATTTTTACTAGTTGGAGATGAAAAATGGTTGTGAATAATATTTGGTGTTATTTATGAATTGTATTGGGGTTGATAGCTTTCGATATTTATTATGAACTAGGCTATTTGTTGGCGCCCATGGCTCCCGTTATTAAGGGTTAACTTTGATTACTATTTTATACAGATTTGTAAGATGCAAATAACCGTAATGTTTTTTAAGGTAATGTTTTTTAAGGTCAATCCTATCACAAAACTTT